TATATATATATATATGTATATATATATATATATATATATATATGTATATATATATATATATATATATATTGCTGCATCTTTAGTTCAAACCCGTAGGAATATCGTAAGTATCTCTAAGGTGCCATTTGTACTCAGATTGATGTCCTAAGGATTTTTTCGATCTAATCTATCCAATATTCAAGTTAGCCATCGAGGACTTTATATATATATATATATATATATATATATATATATATATATATATATATATATATATATATATATATATATATATGGAAAAGGAGTCCCTCGATGTCATGAGGATTATCTTTTATATTGGACTTTGGGAGGAGATAATGCACAACTACCCCAATGTCTCTCTTTTGAAGTTTTGTCCACGTCAGTGGCAAGGGAGAGATATCCTCGAACGACCTACCTTAGACTTTGTCCAGACAGACAAACGGGAAGAGGATAATGTGGGTCTTTCTTTTCCACAATAGCTTTCACGTGATGCTTATTTATCAAATGACGATTGGTCGTTAACATATTCTTCTAGTACTAGTACAAATATCAGCTTCTCAATGGGGGGTATCATTTCTCGGCTCCGCTCAGTATATGACTAACATGATAAAAATGGGCTTTTAAATTCTTGAGTCATCCGACACTAACACTGAGTTGACAACCTGTTCTATGGTAGTGAGATAAAGACTTAGGGTTTCACCCAAAGTAGAAAAGGAGAGTTATGATAACCGAGCGAGATGGTGCTTTAGCTCCTCAAATGCCTCATGACACTTCTTAGTCCACATGAAACCCTTTGGGTTCTTTAATGCTCGGAAGAAGGATAGGCACTTGTCATCGGAGTATGGTAGGAACTGGCTAAATGTTGCTATTCGCCTATTAACTATTGTACTTCATTCATTGACCGAGGTGGATGCATATCCAATATGACTCACACCTTCTCGGGATTTCCATTTATTCCTCTCTAGTGAATCCAAAGAATTTTTCTGAGCTAACTCTGTAAGCATACTTGGACAGGTTGAGGCGCATGTTGAATCTCTTCAAAACATGAAACATCTCGACCAAGTTTACTAGATGTGAGTCAGATGTTTTGCTTTTGACTATCATATCATTATATACACCTCGACATTCCACTTGATCTAGCGCTTGAACATTTTATTTACCATTCTTGAGTAAGTCGTCATACTATTATTCAATCCAAATGACTTGACTCTGTTATAATATATGTCTTAGTCTATAATAAAGGAGGTGTGTCATTCTTATTTGGTTATATTCCAAGAATATATTTATGAAAGTGAGAAGGTCGTGACCCCAAGTAGCATTAACTAGCCGATCGATCTGGGGAGAGAGTAGATGTCCTTCGAACATATTTTATTGAGATAGATATAATCAACATATATTCTCCAATTTTCATTAGATCTTTTAACCAGTACAATATTAACAAGCCACTAGGGGTAGTACACATCGACAATAAATTTTACTCCTAACAACTTATACTTCTCATCACTAATTGTTTGTTGGCGTTTAACAGTAAACTTACGAGACTTTTACTTCACTGGTTGGGCATCGAGGGAGATATTTAAGTGATGTTAGGCCATGTTTAGGTCGATTCTTGACATGTTTCTTGGTGACCATGCAAATACCTCCCATTCTCCTTGAGAAAATTAATGAGTTGCACCCGCTTCTCCTGGGGAAGTGTTGCCATGACCTTGACAACCTAATTAGGGTGGGTATTATCCAGAGTTGCCTCCATTGTTAGGAAACCATGAGGTGGCATCACATGTGCAGTGGAGAACAGAAAACCAAAACTAGTTTCCCAAAAAAAATAATATAGGAATGTCATGTGACGATTAGGAGCGAAAAGCTCGAGAAACCAAAAAACTACGTAAAATTCGTGAGACGTTCTCACCTATGGGAGATCATATATCCCCAAAAATGTAAATCGTATATCACCTTTGCGCCATTCCTTATCCTGAAGTCCACATCGTCTCTTGCCAATCTCCTAGGTCTTGCTAGAATCTATAATGAATTGCAGATATGAGATGCACTACCAATATCTAATACCCATGCATTGTTATAATTTTTTGACAAATAGAGATCGATCATAAATGTACCTGAAGTTTCTGCAAGCTTCTGTTTTGCCTTCTCTGCAAAGTACTCCTTGTAGTTCCTCTTTGAGTGCTTGTCTTTGCTGTAGTAGAAACACTGGTCATTTTCCTTTGTCAGATCTTTCTTAGCAACCTTTGCTTTATTCGGTTTGTCCTTACCCTTACCCTTCTTAAAGGACTTCTCTATCTTCCTTTTTTTCTGGTCTCACCAACATAGAGAGCTGGCTTCACTTTCTTGATGATGCTCTCAACTTCCCTCAACATATTGAGAAACTCAAGGAGAGTCATCTCAAGCTTGTTCATATTAAAATTTATAATGAACTGCAAAAATGAATATAGGAGGGACTAAAGTATAAGATCCACACACAGGTTATTCTCTAGGACCATTCCTAGACTCGTGAGCTTCTCTATCTACTCAATCATCTTAAAGACATGATTCTAAACCGGTGTCTCCTTAGTCATCCTAGCGTGAAAGAGACTCTTGGATATCTCATATCGTTGAGTCCTTCCCTATTCTTTAAATAATTTACGGATATGTAGGAGAATAGATCTGACATCTATCTTTTCATGCTACATCTGTAGCTTGGGAGTCATGGAGCCTAACATGTAACACTGAGCAAGAGTGAAGTCATCTATGTACTTTACGTAGCGAGCGATCTCGTCCTCACTTGCCCTTTTCCTCGAGCATGATTATTACTGTGTCAAGGACATACACAATTTTCTCTATCGTAAGAACAATTCTCAGGTTGCGGAGTCAATCTGTGTAGTTTGGACCAATGAGATGGTTAACATCAAGTATGTTATATAAGGGATTTGAAAGCGACATATTTTTGACAAACAAAGATGCAACAGAAATAAATAACATGTATATGTTGCATAAAAGGAAACAATCAATATATAGACTTCTATCTTAATCTACTCCCACTATTTTCTCACGAAACACAACTCCCTATAGTATGTGAATTGGAGATCCCCAACGGATCTCTAATGGGGGATTCAGATCTAATCGGTATCTTAGTGTAACCTCGTAGGACTCAACCAATCATGCTAAGCTCGAAATGGTAGGCAACTCTTGCCGATCATAATTTCTTGTGATTCTCACCCTATTTGACCTCTAATCCATCATGACTTCGAGGGACTCGACCAAATATGATGTCTGATTAAGTCATCACCACAATTACAAGATGAGTCTAATTTGATGATATGCCCTCGAGGGACTCGACCAAACATACCATGTCCTCAGGTCACCGGTGACATCTCTATGTTGCAGGCAAAATCTCTAATCGTAATATAGGTGAGCCTCGAGGGACTCGACCAACTCAACTTACGTTGGGATTCGTTTTCTCCTTATAATGATGGAAAGCCATGTGGGTTAATCTAATTGTCTCACGCTTATCGACTTAATACTATTTTAAAGATATTTTTTAATTTGGTCTCATGGCTAAATATTATACGTCACACACATATATTTAATATGCATTTACATCGCATACAAATATATATATATATATATATATATCTCTAGTATGTGTATAGACATACATATATTGCATATAAGCAATTGCACCAGATGATCATGGACCACAGCCTAATGTGATCAAGCATGAGCTAAAAGGCCTAATCACTTACAAAAGAGTCTATGTGTGCCTCGGTATATCTCTATGCCCCATGATCATCCATCTTGTCCTCATTGGTCCTATCGGCATCTCGATCCTCCGTCTTGACTTCGTGGGTCCCACTAGCACTTACACGCTCCCGTCATGTTTTTCTCGTATATTTACAACATAAATACAAGCACGTAAGCCCAACAATAATAGCCACATAAATGAAAAAAGAAGGAGGCTCGCAAGTCTCAATAATAATAATCACACACACATACACATCATCACACTGTAAATAATAATTATACACATCACATAGGATTACTAAATAATAATTAATTATATAGTTTAACTCTTAAACTATTAACTCTTAAACTAGTTTACCCTGACCGCCAAGGGTACCCTTGCAGCCAGGAGTCCCTGGCCATAGGGCTGCCTTGAGCGGTTAAGAAACCCTAGCCACCAAGGTTGCCCTTGTAGGTAGGACTCTCTGGTTGTAGGGCTACCTAGTTGCCCTTGCAACCATGAGTCCCTAGCCGTAGGGTTACCACAAGCGGCTAGGAAACCCTAGTCGCCAGGGTTCCCATTGCAGCCAGGAATCCCTGACTGTAGGGGCTCTGCTCAACCTGGCCGAGAACAACCTTGGAAATTATTTTAATGGCAAACCAGTGGCTGACGAGGCCTTTCAAGTGCTAGAACAACGATCGATATCAAACATAACAACTTTACGAAATGACCGATTCTACATGATTAAACACAATATGCAACAATACCAGTTTATAACCGATCGTTGCATGAACAACCTGGCTCTAATACCATTGTTGGAAAACCTTAGAGAGCATCGCATGTATAGTGAAAAAATAAAAACGAAAATAAGTTTCCCAAAAACAGAATTATATCAAATCGCATGCGACGATCGGGATCGAAAAACTCGTCAAATCTGAAAATTGCATAAGACGTGAGACGATCTCACCTAAGGGAACTCATATATCCCTAATCTGCATATCCCAATATATGGATGAAGGAGATCTTGCGTTCTCCTCTCTAGCGATGATCCATATGACGGATGAAGTGGTGACTCACCTTCTCTCACAACGTGTTCTTTTCTCGCTTTCACACACCACCACCAACGCAACAAGGGGCAATCTTCTTGCTGCCCTCTCATACAAGAGAGGGGGCAGTTGACTAAGGAAAAAAGTAGGAAGAGAAGTCAAGGAGGTAGCGGTTAAGGGTCTAGCCTTATAACTGTTAAATCTCGGATTTTTGATGATGAAACCAATTGATAATGTTTGTGATCTAATCTGCGTTTTGAGTGACGCAGGACTAGCTTCGATCAGGAAAGATAATTAAAGTAGGAAGAATCATGTTGAGCCAGAGTAGAACATATCAGAAAATTGGATGTCGAGCCAGAGGATCGGTTGACGTATCGACAGAAGGCCTCAGGCCATGTGATCGGGCATCGGGCCAAGAAGAGCGAAAATTACGCCAAGGAAATCAGAGTTTTGGAGGTCAATAGGCCGCAAGAGAGGACGATGCACCGAAGAATCAGATGAGGCGTCGATGAACCAATGATATATCAGACAACATTTGATTAACTTTGTAATAATTGTCTAGATCAAAGTAGGTTTTAGGCATAATTGGGTTGGAATTGGGTCAACTCAATTAGGGGCCAATTGAGCCCAAGTTTGGACTATGTTGGGCCAAGTGAAAGGCCCAAACAATGACCTAATAAGTGTAACCATCATGGTACAGTCACCGAGACTGTGTTAGGTGGTGGTATCGCCCAGTGGCAAGGTGACAAGCGATGGTACCGCCTAGTATCAGTGCTGCAGGCGGTGGTACCCCTAGTACCCCAAAAACCAGGGATGAAACACTTTTAGGCTCCAAGTTTGAATCCACTTGAGGCCTATAAATACCCCTCTCATCCTTGGTTAGCATAGACAAGCACAAAGAGCTTAAAAGTGGGAAAACGCTGTAGTAATCACTTGAGAGAATCCCTCCTCTAGTTCTAAGTTTAGAATTCTATTTAGGGAGGAGTGAGTGCTTATAAAAGGTTATCTTCTAAACCTGTGAAAAGGAGAAAAGGGGTGTAAAAGGGTAGTTGATCTTTGCCTGTTGAAAGAAGATCGGTAGTGGAAGCTGGTGACCTCGACGTAAGAGGAATCGGGAGTGGATGTAAGTCACGATGACTACCACTATAAATCGGTTTGTATTTTTGTTTTACTATTTACTTTTATTGAAATCTACTTTACATTGTAAACTGATTTTTTAATCTCACTACACTCTCATACGCTTTCAAATTAACATCTTTCGAGATCGGTTTTAATTGAAACGAAGATTTTTCAAAATCGATATTTTTATCCGCTACACTAATTCACCCCTCCCCCTTCTTAGTGCCGACTCAAGTCTAATAATAACCATTTTAGTCACATATCTCTTTTTATAGAGAGTTCATGCTACTAACCATAATGGATGATACGCTATTGGATATTGGATTTTTATTCTATTTCCCTAGTATGGGAGCATCACATGTATAACAAAAAATAAAAACAAAAATCAGTTTCCCAAAAATAGAATTATATCAAATCACATGCAATGATCGTGATCGAAAAACTTGTTAAATCTGAAAACTACTTATGATGTGAGACGATATACAGATCCTAGTTTATGGATGAAGTAGATCTCGCGTTCTCCTCTAGCGGTGATCCACACGATGGATGAAGCGGCGATGCTTCTTCTCTCGCGACTCATTCTTTCCTTGCTTTCGTGCACCACCACAAATATAGTAGGGGGCAGTCTTCTTGCTGCCCTCTCATGCTATTGGAGGGCAATCAGCTGAGAAAGAAGCGGAGAGAGAAGTCAACAAGGTGGTAGCTAAGGGCATAGCCATATAACCCTTTTAGTCCCACATCCCTTTTTATAGAGAACTCATACTACTAACCATAATAGATTATGTCTTATTGGGTATCATATTAGATTTTCATATCCCTTTTTATAGAGATCTCCATCCAATTTTCATATCATATTAGATGCTAGATATCCATCCAATTATCCCTGGCTTAATGGAAATTGGTCTCATCCAACAGATCTAATAAAACAAAAGCTTATTGGATATCACATATACAATCCTCTATTCGTCGCTCAGAACTCTTGATCCTATGAATTATCATCCTATGAGGATGATAATTCACTCAATTCATCAACTACAGAAATACTAGACCACTACGCCAGAGTTCATTGATGGTACAGGGGGATCTAATCCATTAAACATGGTGTTGTCAGGCCCATATGGAATCTTCTATCGACACTCAATTGCCCTTGTAAGGTTGGCTGTCACTCTCGATGACCAGCTGTGCTAGATTTGGAACATTCGAACTATAAGTTCATATCTAATAAGGGAGTACTCATATAAGACATCATTGGTGTCTCAAGTCTAAGGATCAGACACACAACTGAGACCACAGAGCCATTGTTTGACGATAAGGTTTCATTAACCATCCAACATTCTATGAATGGATCATTCAATGAACTTGTTTTCCAATGAGTACCTGCACTATATCCCTTGTGTCCTCACACAAGCAGTTATGAGACCAGCTATCTCCATTATATGGATGGGTATATAGTACACTGATCTATCCGGTTAACTCGATATCCCTCTTGAGTAACCTATGACCAGGAATATTTTAGGGTATGTGTTTATAAGCGAATTAGTCTCATTATCATAATTTTATCATAATCTAATTCCCACTGCACAGATTAATATACATCATAATATATCAATCAAGTAATATAAAGTGAGAAAATACCATAATAATAATAATAACAAAAAAGATTGTGTAGCGTGTTACACGTATCATCACTTATGTGATTGGCTTGTAGGGCACTTGTAACTAGCATAGTATATCGATCTCTCCGGTTATCTCGATGTCCCTCTCAAGTAACCTATGATCGAGAATATTTAAGGTCAGTGTTTGTAGGCGAATTGGTCTCATTATTATAATCTCATCATGATTCAATTCTCATTGCATAGATCTATGAACATCACAATATATCAATTAGGCATTATAAAGTGAGAAAATATTATTATAATAATAACTAAAGAGATTATATTGCATGTCACACGTGACATCACTCACATGATTGGCTTGTAGGGTACCTGTAACTAGCATCGATAAGTAACTAACTAGCATCGATATGTTAAAACTTCTTCTAACATAATAAATTATCATCCTATAATATTTCACTCAACTCAACGACTATGGATGTATATGACCATTACACCATAGTCCCCAAACGGTAAATGGAGATATAATCCATTGGACCTATTTACAAGAGATACAGTCTCTAAAATATTAGATGGATGCGTGACTATATATACACGAACACATTATTATCTCTCAATTCGAATGATCATGGTTACAAATTTGTTTGAGTGAGAATATATTGGACATTCCTCTCATGACACCGAGAGTAAATGATTTTCTATCAATGCTCAATTACCCTCATAAGGTTGGCTACCACTCCTAATGATTAATTGTACTAGATTTGGAACCTCCAGACCTATAAGTCTGGAATCAAAGAGCAGAGTACTCATACAGAACATCTTTAGTGACTCAAGTCTAAGGACTAGATGCACAACTAGGACCACAGAATCATTGTCTAAAGATGATGTGTTATTAACCATCTAGCATTCCGTGAGCGGATCATTCTGTAAACTCATTCTCCAATGAGCATCTGCACTATATCCCTAGTGTCCCTATACAAGCACCTATGAGATCAGCTGCCTTCATCATATGGACGAGTATATAACACACTAATCTATCTGATTATCTTAATATCCATCTCGAACAACTTATGATCGAAAATATTTAGGGTCTATGTTTATAGATGAATTAATCTTATTATTATGATCTCATCATGATCTAATTCTCATTGCATATATCCAACCCAATGTTCCACCGTATTTATTTGCTTCCTATTTAATTATGAAACATTGAAAGCACAGTGGTGCCCGGCATGACATGCTTCGACCCTTAGCTTTTCTTTTTATTCTGAACCAGTCCTTTTTGTTATGTTGCTAATCCTGCTATAGACTATCTAGGTTAGCACATCAATTGATATCCTTATTTGAACCTGTTCTCTTGGGTTATCAAACCCAGATTATCTGGGTTACTCCTTTGACCTATCTTTTTAACCCTTCCTAGCACTAGAACATTGGGAAGGGTTAAACTTTTAAGATCAGATTAAACCTACTTAGCTTTGAACCATTATGCTTTTCGATTGTAGTCACTAATCAGCTAGAAACTTGCCAATTTTATATGTAGTTCTGATTATGTGGTTCTTGGACTGCATGTTTCATATTTCTATTTCATATGCCTTTTGGGCTAACCGGATTTTCTTGAATATAGGGAACATTAGATGGTGGACTTGATATCCCTCATAACGATAAGAGGTTTGCAGGTTTTAAGAAGGACAAGAAGCAACTTGATGCAGAGATTCACAGAAAGTATATTTTTGGTGGTCATGTTGCCTCTTCCATGAGGGTTAGATAATTGCAGTCTTTCCCCCTTAATTGTTTTCTGATAGCTTCCATATAAATGCATGTAATGCCATATTCAAACTTGCATTATCAAAGTTAATACACATACACATAGTGCCACATTTTTACACATGTATGGTTTTTATTGTGTGCATGCATTTATTTGTAATTATTTTAATACACATGATTTAGTCCACTCAATAGGTTGCCCTATTGGCGTCAAGCTTACGATAACATTTGGAAACTTATCTACACCATATTTTCTTTTGAGGGCTTCTATTTTAGTTGCTTATGCTGATCTCTTTCAACCTCAATGAACTTCTATTTTTGTTTTAGTGGCACCATATAGATGTTTTCCTTGTACTCCTGCCGCATAGCATATAACAAATTTGATAGAAAATTGTCCGTGAGTGTCACTCACCTTCTATATTCCTCAGAATTTGATGGAGGATGAGCCAGAGAAGTAGCAGGCGCACTTCATTGAATATATCAAGAGGCAAGCTGAGCCTGATGGCATGGAAGAGATGTACAAGAAAGTTCATGCTGCCATTCGATCCAGTAAAATCGACAAAGTAACCACCAACGGAGCGCAAGAGGTATACACCAATCACATATGATCCCAAGAACAGTTTTAATCAGATGGCATGATTCTTTTTAGATGCTGAGTCATCATCCATGGCTTGGCTAGAAAGAGTCGAATTAGCTGTTGAAACTGTGATCTTGCAAACATACTACAAGTTCTCACATGTTTCAGTTTGCATTGCAGATTTAACTTGAAGAAGCTTACTTATGAGGAAAGGAAGGCTAGACTAATTGAACGATTGAATGCCCTTAATGCTTGTGCTGGTGCTGATGATTTTGACGAGGATGAGGATGATGAATGAAACATTTTAGTTATGTGCCAGCCTTGAGTTGTATTTGCATGGGCAGGTTACCATTTGGTACTAAACGGATATTATTCTCAGTTTAACCAATTTAATCATACACTAAGATTTTTGACTCATGCTATTGGTGATATTATTCCATTAGATCTGCAATGTTGCCTACAGCCTCCTACTCATGTGAACTGTGCATTGGTGCTTCTAATCGACAATGATCAATGATTCTAATGATGAGTGGCAAAGGTTTGAGAATTCATTTATTTCATTGCAATTTAACTCATTTTTCCTATTCAGTTTATTCTTCTTAAGCTGATGATAGCAGATCTTGTATAACATATGCACTTTCTGAGGACAAGTGACAAATGCAATTATATGGTGTGGAAACTTTTTATTGGTCTTTTTTTGACTAAGGGGGGCATATGATATCACATGCTATGAAAAGATTAGCACTGAAATAATTATATTAGTTTATAAGCAAATCCTTTAGGCTAAAACACACCTTGTTGACCTGATAGCCTATTGATTAAGTCTCCTACCCTAAATCTGACCAATTATGCTATGAGCTGCAAATAAAGCTGATTTATTTTGGTGGACTATCGCCATCATCCATCAGCCGTCATTGTTTTAGGTAATATGAATTAAGTGCTAAATCTTGGATGTCACCACATGGCCCATGCGTCAAAGTTAATTAAACAAAACAACACATTCCAACGTCCAAGTGTATGCACTTGGTTCAGTGTACAAGAGAATAGTGTGATAAAAAATCGGGCTAATTATATATTATATAGTTAACTAGTCTTAGCATCTGAGTTTGTACGCTTAAAAAATTGTATTGACAATATCTAGATTCATTTATCCTATTATTATCGATTTTACCAACGAAAATATAAAAATAAAAAGTAAAAAGATAATTTTAATATTTTAATTAGTGATAGCGGACAATGATATCATTGGGGGCTCGACAATTACTCGCCTGCTAGCCTTCTAGAGCTTCTCTTTCTGGTCAATGACAACTATGATGAATAGATTTTCTTCTCCGATGAGTCTCCCATCTTCCCTTTTTCATGCTCAAGTTGAAACTGATGCGGAAGCGAGGAGAGCAACAGGAGCTCTGATGGCCCTTGCTTCAAGTCAAGAGATCCACCCAACGGGTCAACTGTGAGGTGGTTATCATCTTCATCGTAGATGGCGAGGCGCCCACCATCTTTATCATAGATATTGTGGTAGCCACCACTATCTATGTCAACGCCGATGCAGTTGCTGAGCGGTATTGCTTTGCATCTGCATTGTCATTGATGCAGATGCTAAGCGACCATTTCGTTGCTCGACAATTACATTGGTATCGATATACCACTACTGATCCGTTGGACATATCATTTGACTTGAAATTGGGGTCATTGGAGCTCCTATCACTTCCCTTCGCTATTGTGTAAGTTTTAACACGGACAAGAAATAGGGGAGATGGGAGGCTCGTCAGAGGAGGAGTTTTATTCGTTGTGGTTATCATTAACCAAGAAAGGAAGCTCTTGAAAGCTAGCAGGCGAACAATTGTTGAGCTCCCAACAAACGTAATTGACGATAGTAGAAAAATGTATCTCGGAATTCGACGTTGAGTACATCGTCGTACTCATTATCGACGCAGTTATCAAACGACTCTCACCTCTCGTTATCGCTCTTCTCATCCATAAAAATCACCCGTGGCCCCCAGTGACATCGCCATTCGCCACCATCGATATCGTCCGTCACTACCAACTGAAATATTAAAATTATTTTTATTTTTTATTTTCATATTTTTGTTAGTAAAATATTAAAATATTTTAATTAATAAAATATTAAAATATTAAATGAACATAAATATTTCATTTTCATAATCATATATGAAACATTAAAGGTTGGTAAAAGGTAATATCTAATTAACCCTCAAAAATCACAAAAAGAAATTATCAATTTTACACAAAGATGCCATAGTGATATAATAAATAGACCTAAATTATATTAATGGATCGAAAGTTACATGAAAAAGACGTATAAACGACACCCTCGGGATGTCGTCTTCATCAATATTGTCGGTGTAGGAGTGAAGGAAATGACGTCACATCGACGTTGGAATTTATCGTCAGCTTATTCTACGCTAATTTTGGAGATGCCTATTCCTTCCTCAGTTCATAATACTCATCTCTCTCTCTCTCTCTCTCTCTCTCTCTCACACGCGCACACGCAGTGGTGATGGATAATGCAGATCGAGTGCTCCTGCTTCCGTACCCGAGCCAAGGCCACATCAACCCCATGCTCCAGTTCGGGAAGCGCCTCGCCGCCCACGGCCTCCTCGTCACGCTCGCCGCCACCCGGTTCATCCTCGGCTCCTCCCGCCCCGAGCCCGGTCCGGTTCGCCTCGCTGCCATCTCCGACGGGTTCGACGCCACGGGCTTCGACGGGGCCGGCTCGGCCCCGGTCTACCTCGGCAGGTTCGAGCTGGTCGGCTCCGAGACCCTGGAGAGCTTGCTCCGCAGTGAGGCCGCCGCCGGCCGCCCCGTCCGCCTCCTGGTCTTCGACGCGTTCCTCCCCTGGGCGGGGGACGTGGGGCGGCGGCTGGGAGCCGCGACGGCGGCGTTCTTCACGCAGTCGTCCGCGGTCGACGCACTCTTCTACCACGTGTGGGAGAGGCGGCTGTGTCCGCCGGTGCAGGCGGCGGTGGAGCTCCCGGGGTTGCCCCGCCTCGAGCCGAGGGACCTACCGTCCTACCTAGTGGAGTTGGTCACCGCCTATCCGGCGTACATGGACATGGTGATGAACCAGTTCAAGTGCTTGGAGAACGCGGATGAGATCCTCATCAACTCCTTCTATGAACTCGAACCTGAGGTACCTTCACATACGGTTCTTTTCATATCAACCACATTTTATCTTTGGTCAGACGTCAACGGGGGGAGAGAGACTCGTTGACTTGGAGAACCATGTCGTCTTTTATTCTTTGTAGCTTTTGTTGCCATGATTGGAACTAATTTGCGACCAGGAAACGGACTTCCTGAGGGTGGCATGCGGAGCGAAGACCGTCGGGCCGACGGTGCCGTCCAAGTACTTGGACGACAGGATCCCCTTCGACTCCCAATACGGCCTCAATCTCTTTACGCCGGCCGCCGCTCCATGCATGCGCTGGCTGGGCTCCAAGCGGCCCGCCTCGGTCGTGTACGTCTCCTTCGGCAGCATGGCTGTGCTCGGCCCAGAGCAGACGGCAGAGCTAGCCTTCGGCATCTCGGACAGCGGCAAGGACTTCCTGTGGGTGGTGCGGTCCTCGGAAACCGGCAAGCTGCCCCGGGACTTCGCTGAGGGGTTCGCGGAAAGAGGCCTGGTGGTGTCCTGGAGCCCGCAGACGGAGGTCCTTGCTCACCCGGCGGTCGGCTGCTTCTTGACGCACTGCGGGTGGAACTCGACCGCCGAAGGGCTGAGCCTGGGGGTGCCGATGGTGGCGATGCCTCAGTGGACGGACCAGCTGACGAACGCCAAGTACGTGGAGGACGTGTGGGGCGTCGGGGTGAGGGTGAGGGAGGACGAGAAGGGATTGGTGAGGCGGGAGGAGGTGGAGAGGTGCGTGAGGGAGGTGATGGAGGGCAGGAGGAGGGAGGAGATGAGGATGAACGCCGCCAAGTGGAGGGAGCGGGCAAAAGCGGCGGTGGGGAAGGATGGGAGCTCTGACAAGAACATAGTGGCGCTCATTGCCAAGTACTGCACGAACACGTAGCTCATGCCAAAACAATCTCGCATTGGATCCGTGGAATTAGATTCTTGCAAACAATGATTGACTTCTGGATGCTTCATCATCTCAGTTGACTATTTGTATGGACTCAAATATCATACAAACTGAAGGAAATCTTTGACCCAGTCAATGCTATATTAAGATATATATAATATTTCTGAAATTTACGTGAATGCATTCGACGATTAACTAAGCGAATCTGAGATCAGCACGACTTGGAAAGCAGCGATGGAGGGCTGCTGATGGAGAGATATCGGATGTGGATCGCACTCTCAATTACGCCACGCCTGTCAACGCAATCCATCGTCTCCTTGTTTTGAGTGCCCTGTCTCTTCTCCGAGTTGCGACTCCCGATGGCCGCTCTACAAGACCACCGCTTCTTCCCGAAACCCCTCGTTCCTCTCTGCTTCCCTGCTTCTCATCTGCGCAGCTCTGTGCCCCTCTGCATCTCGATCCATAAGGCCAAGTCATTGGCCCAGATTCCACCTCCTGATGCTGCAAATCCCCTCCGGAATCTGTTCTCCGCCCGAAAGATCCCAACTTTCTCCGGAAACCCTGAAGAGCAGACTCTTAGGATCCTGGTTTCATCGGAAAAGGCTTCACCTTTGTCGAGAAGTCTACGTTCCATCATCCGTTTTCGCAAAACCGCCCATCGCCCCGTTTCCCTGTTTGATCTCTTATCTTCTATTGATCTCCAGGTCTCAACCCAGAAGATTGCTTCTTGCTCGAGAATTCCATCTTTCCGTCACAGTTTTGCATTGCTACTTTCTGCTTTTTCTTCTCCTTTCCCTGCCAACGCAGCCGACTCGGAGCAGGTCTCGCAGAAGATCAACATAGAACATATTCTTGTATCAATCGATGATTTCTTCAACCGGAATCCATTCTTCGTAGCGGGGGTCACCGTCATCTGGCTTGTCCTGATACCGCTGACACAAGAGTACCTCAAGAAATACAAGTTCATCAGCGCAATCGATGCCTTTCGGAAACTTAGGGACATGCCCAATGCCCAACTACTGGATGTGAGGAAGAGGCAGAGTGTCAAGTTCATGGATTCGCCAAATTTGAGGATTTTGAACAAGAATGTGGTTCAGGTGGAGTATTCTGATGGAAACGAAGAGGGTTTCATCAAGGAGGTTCTGCGGAATTTTGAAGATCCAGGAAATACTGTCATCTGTGTTCTTGACAAGTGAGCTCTCAGACTATATCTATAAATTACATTTTCTAGTTTGGAAATGTTGATATCATTATTGGTTGGAAAATATAAATTTTCTACATAGAGAAGATTTCAGAACATGGAAAACAGACAAATGTCGAAGGTTTCAGCTAGTTTAGCTGACAATTGATCACCGCAAGGTCCTGGGCTCGAATCCTGCTGTTGCTGCTTATCCTTTACAAAAACGTTAAAAATGTAGATTTTGTTCATCTTATTTTGCATTTAGGAGAAATATGTAGATTTTGTTCATCTTTAGGAGAAAATATTGGACAGTTCTTGTAGATTCCAACTCCATTTTATTGCTGTCTTTATGGCCATTCGCTGAAGTGTCAATTCCTCTATTATGACTTTTACAGTTTACATGACTATATCTTTAGGAGGAATATGTAGATTTTGTTCATCTTAATTTGCATCTCCATGGAAACATTGGACAGTTCTTGTTGATTCCAACTCATTACATGTCTTTCTGCCAATTCACTGAAGTGCTAAACCCTCTATTACAAGTTTTCTTTTCTGAAAATTAAAATATATTAAGGAGCAAAATATCAGTTACAGTAATCGACAGATGCCGATTTGCATGAGATGAACTTTCATTCGTTTTGATTTCTATATATGCTCTATATTTCTACCAAGAAACAGTGATAACATAATTGGGATGTTCTGCTGAGTGCTTATTTTTTTGTGTAAGGTAGCTTTGATGGTGATTCTCTTAAATTGGCTGAACTGCTTTACAAGAATGGTTTCAAGGAGGCATATGCAATTAAAGGTGGACTCAGAGGGAAGGATGGATGGCAGGTTTAATTCTAATGTCTATTCGAGATGGTCCATTTTGCAAGTTATGTTAGATACTGATGTGTTAAGAGATTCAATGGCTGAACAAAATGTGATTTTTTAGTAGTTTTATTCATTGTATTAACAGTATAATTTCTTTTCGTGCAGGAAATTCAGGAAACCTTTCTTCCACCCTCTGTGCATGTTCATCCAAGGAAAAAGAACATGGAATCAGCAGAAACAGAGGCGAACAACCAAATGATGAATGACCAGATTGTGGCTTCTTCCAGCAATCACCATGACAAGAACTTGAACACGGACAATGGTTTTGTAGAGCCTACAGAAACTATCTCAACCGCAAAGCTTATTCCAGAAAGACCTCTGTCGCCCTATCCGAATGTAAGAATAGAAGATTTAGCTTTCCATTATTTTGATTGCACGAGCATCTGCTAACAATCGTAATTGCTTTTATAAACTCAAATCAAATTTTCAATTCAATATGATCTGTTGGTACAGATCATTCTTTGGTAATTGCCATTTTAATGATCTGTTGGTACAGATCATGATCTGTTGGTCCAGATCATTCATATCATGAAATATTGCTATTTCAATTCAATTTTAAGTCCTATTTTAATTCAATGTTGCTTTTATAACATTCATAATTGCTTTCTGATTTGTTGGTGCAGTATCCCGAGCTCAAACCGCCTTCTTCTCCGTCTCCATCAAAGCCTCAAAGTTGAAGCTGTGATGTTGCTTGCAACTCGGTACACATTCTTTGCCTTCAGTAGGCTTTTTTCTGGGTGGATTAAAAGGATGTCTTTTTGCTGATGTGAGTAGAAGCATATTCATGAATTAGACTACTTTGTTCAATTTAATTGCCCCTTTGTACTTGTTTAATGTGATATGTGAAGTGTTTTTTTTCCTTCAGACAACATGGTAATTGTTGGACAGTACCATTAGAAAATGGATATATTCCTGCCCATCATCCGAATTAGTGATCATTAACAGAGACATTAAACCGTGCAACACATATCGGATGATCCCAAAAGCCATTCAAGTCCACTTAAGCTTCATGTAGGATGAGGATTCTCTCCCATTTACTGTGATGGGAGAGTTCTCCCAGCAAACAAAAACATACTCTCATTCACAGACATAAAGGGTAAGTGGGTAACTGATAACTAAATCAAACTAAAAATGGGTATCAGTGATGGATTATTTTTGGCAGTACATACAAAATCACCTACTACACTGGCAAACATAGTTTTGTGAACAAAATTAACATGTAATGTTAGCAGCACATTCAAGATCATGCACATAGTTTTGTGAACAAAATTAACATGTAATGTTAGCAGCACATACAAGATCATGCACACTGGCAACTGTAGTTGCGCGAAAAAAATTAACATGTAATGGTCATTGCTCCCCACTGAGTGAAAAGAACATGAGCTGCTTAGTAATTGCCTGGAGCACCGCTGCGCTTGATACATATGACTTGGCATCGATGTGCACCGGTTGTCTCAGCTTGTAATACTGTAATCGATTTGTTTGCTTGGTGTACTGCAGTGTATTGCTTGCTACACTGTTTTTCCTTGGGGTTTACATGTTCTTCAACATCTTTAAATGATGCATATGACTTGGCATTGTATGCAAAGTGCAGTTAGATCAAACATAATCTGCTAGTGAGACACTCTGTGTGCTTCATTCCACTTACACTTTAGCAAGTTATGATTCACCTGTGGAACAAGTCAAAATCTGAGATAGTATCAAAACACTATTAGATACGGTCAATTTTTTCTTTGAACAGAACACACAGGTATTACTTGAGCTCCAAATAATTGATTAGACAGAATCATCATAAATGCTGTTAGATATTTACGTGGCAAAATTTGACTAGGAATCCAGAGAGAGAGAGAGAGTAATCAAATGTTCTTTTAACAGAAACAGAAAACTTTTAGTTTGACATTCCAAATATATATTAACTAGAATCATCATAAATGCTGTTAGATACTTATGAAAGCTAGATGGGCACATACATTGGCCAGGTCAATGCAAAGGTTCATGAGATTATGGTTCTTCTGTAGTTCTCTTTTGCAGATTAGGCACTGGTACTTGTCATTCTCAGCACTTCTGTTGATGTAAATACAATGAATCAAATAAGCAAGCAAGCACAAGGTGGTGAAAATTGGAAGAACTTTGAAGCTACTATTTTTCCTTTTAAAGGAAGCAAATATGTCAAGGAGAAATAGATGAAGACACATTAACACTTGTCCGGAGGAGATCAAACACCTTTCACTCATCGATTGCTCCAAAATCAGTTATATTTGCTCACTCATTTACGGGAAAGCAAAGAATTTGTCTGATCACTTCAGCAACGAGGCGTTGGTGGAAATCTTGACGGTTAGCCCAATGGTAAAAAAGAAGTGATCATCCTTTGAATGGAGCTCAAGTCATGGAATTTGACTCCTGTTTGGTCCAAATCGCAGAAACTTAGAATGTGATCGAGCAACATCGACAGAAGCAGCGTGCTCAGGTTTTAAGCAAAGGTCGCGACGCCACTACTAGCCCCCCTTACGGACAACGAAAAGCTTGGACATACATCATCGACTTCAGAAACCATTTCTCCCGGAAAACAGATCTTACTGCGATACAGCCTAACCATAAGATCGAAGCAAACCAGAATGGCGCATGATTAATCCGCAATAGAACATTATCCGAAGGATCACGAGAGCTCAAAGAGGAGATCATGAAGAAATGCGAGCAAAGAGATGGATCGAAAAATAGATCAGAGAAGGGCGTCAGCCAATATGTACCTTCTCTTTCCAATTGGAGTTCAGGAACGCTCTTCTTCGCCGATCTCCGCCGCTGGATGGCGATTCCTCCGCTACTTGTAGCAATCTAACGCAGTCTTGAAATCCAAGTTCGCGAGGGGGATTAAGATCCAAGATCGGCCCCGATATCAGACCACCACATCGGGGGTTACGAAACCGACCTATGCTAGTATATGAACACCGTCATCAGCTTACCGTTTCGGAACTCGGCAACCCTTTTTTTCTTTTCTTTTCCTTCAGAATTTAATATTTAGTGGGAAATTTGTCGGCTCTCTATCATATTTATTTTCACTTATATTTTCTTCGACGCAATTTCTATATCTCTGTAATATAACTATTGCGAAAAAGAAAAATAATTTGAAGAAAAAGAATCACAATCCGCTTTAAAAGTTGAAATATCCTAAGGTGGTGACCGCACCCGTGCCCGGTCTGTGCTGCCCAGATATGTAGCATGATCGGGCTTCTCTCTCTCTCTCTCTCTCTCTCTCTCTCTCTCCACAAGGAGCAAAGAGGAGATGGCCAAGTCGTGTAAAGGCCTGGCGATGGAGCTCGTCAAATGCCTCAGCGAATCCGATTGCGTGAAGGTATGTGTAATTCTAACCGAATCCTATCGTGTTTCCAGTTAGATTTAGTTTTATTTTCGTCATAGAAATGATATCTCGTTAAGAAAGATGCGATTTTGCACCTGTTTGTGGGAGGTCACGTCAAACAACAAAAAAGAGAGGTCTTTGCATGCTCTCTGCGTTTGGAATCATAGATCTTTTATCATCTTTCACCGTGCTGAGGGTTCTTTGAGTTCTTGAAGGTTTGATCTTGATGAGGGGAAAAGAAAAAGCACCGAGGTGTGGAGATCAATGTGCTTGAACCCTGAAGGAGGGTTTAAGCTCTTGAAAATTGGTGAAGTTCGTTCAGAGTTTCTCATCTGTGTGTTGTGTTCGCAGTAGATGATTTCAGAGGACTATAAACAATGGTTGCCATATTTACGGTGACCCAAATGAAATTATTGGCTAAGAGCCAGCAATTATTCTTTAGATTGGGAAGGATTCAGATAGGAAGCTGTTTTGGCGACGAAAGATGCAAATTTGCATGTTTGAGGCTTCCGGGTGAGTATTTGAAAATGAATTGACAATTTTCTTGGCAGAAATCCAGAAAAGTAGAATTTTGCTAAGGAGGACAAGAATTAGTCTTGGTGGAGCTGCCCCTGCTAATCTGTTTTGTGGATTTTATTGAGGCATTCAAGATCCAGATATGAGTTGTTAATTTCAGAATAACATGGTGATCCTGTTGGCATTGAGAGGAAATTGCAGTTTGTGGTAGATATATAGGATCTAAAAATCAAAATTAACTTTGCTGTTTGAGAGGGTGTGTTCAGGAACAAGATGATTTAGTCTGTAGATCATGAAGGAACTTTATATTTTCCAGATTGCTTCTAATGCTTAAATTTACGCGTTCAATAATTTTCTTTTTCATGTTAGTAATTGTGCATGTATGTGCACATGCGCATGCATGTGTGTGTGCCTGTGTGCGTATGGATGTGTTCATGCGACAACTTATGAGGACTCCAGTCCCTTGCACATATGTGCACAAAATGAGATTATGCGCTGTGCATATTGGAGGACCAGAATGACATCTCTTACCAATTCATTTATGGGATGGACATCATCAGAAACTAGTGCTCCATGAGCTTTTCCATTATAATCGATTCCACCAACTGTCTTAATGACATCTCTTGCCGATTTATTTATGGGATGGACATCATCAGAAACTAGTGCTCCATGAGCTTTTCCATTGTGATCGATTCCACGAAGTATCTTGGATACCTGATCGTGATGAAGTAGCCTGAGTACCTGATCTCATGATAAGCTCTCGTTTTTGAGAAAACTGATGACGAACTATCTTAGATACCTGATCTACCAACACCTTTTGCTTTATGCTTGGTTGTGTATCTCTTCTTTCCACATGCATGTTTTCAGGTGAGCATGCATTCTTTCAACACAGAAACAAGGCTCTATGGTAGCTCTAATCAAGTGTTTTCACTATTTTCTTTGGTGGTATTCCAATTTAGAACCAAATATTAGGTGAGTGTGGCTAAGATCAGAGGGATTAAAATTTCAACTGCTAAAGTGGGTCTCCTATGGTGGGAAAAGCAAACTGAATTCTACAGGTCGAAGAAGCTTGAAAATTCTTGAAAGAGAATCATTTAGTAGACAATCATTATCTGTATTCAAGAACTTGATTCATATCTACTCTGTTGGTTTGTTAGCTCAACTGTTAATTCTGATATCAGATTGAGATGAATATTTGTTTGCATGTGGGTTGAATTATTCAGGTTGATAAGCGATCATACAGGGAATGTGCTGGAGAAAAGGTGCCTTCCATATCAAGTGAATGTGTAGGCCTTAGGGAAACATATTTCAACTGCAAGAGAGGCCAGGCATGATATATCAGAACCCTGATACTTCTTTATTAATTCCAAAAAAAATTACAAAAAGAGAAAACCGATAGTGTCATGCTTACCGGTTCATTTTCTTGCATTACTTGGAAGCCACCAATTAGCCTTAAACTGAATTCCTCCATAACAAATAGAAGTTTACCACATTACACCACCTCTTCTTTTTACCCCATGTATGTGTCTTCCTAGATGAAGGTCATTGAAGTTGAGCTCTTTGTTTATTTGCTAAATTGTCACCTTTTCTATCCAATCTGGCACTAGGTTTTGACTGTCAGTTGTTTTATGGCTTAAAGTTGCCTTATCCAGGGCTTTTGCTTCAGAGAATTGGTTTCAGATTGACCAATAGTACTGCACTACATGCCTTAACTGAAGTTGGACTTTGTATGTTGATAGAAAGCTTGTTCGATAAATGGTTTTTCTTTTCATTCTTTTAATATACATGTAGTGATTGAGAGAATTGGTTGTTTAACTTTTTTGGCTTCAAACTCTCTTCTTTCAGATTTTGACTGTATGACATTCGAATGTAGCAATCATATTTGATGCAGAATCCATTGCTCTAGAGCAGAAATCCACTCATGGTGTTTTTTGCTATAAAATGAAGAAAAGCCACCCCACTGTGCCGGATGACCAAGTTCAACTGCGATCTAGTCTAATCTCATGTCCACCTAATCTGTTGATCTTACCGAATGCGAACTATTAACAACCTAGGGTTGATGAATTCAACCTAAGATAGGAGTCTGGCGGACAGTTTGTCTGTGATCTCTCTGCCTCCCTTCTCATTTGTCTTTCATGATCACAAAAATATACGCTTGAGCTGAATGATTTGCTTTGTTTGACAGGGAAGTTAACTATATAATTCTTGCCCTTCATGCTTATGAATTCTAAATGACTTGTTTCATGGAAATTTCAGGTCGACATGAGAGCACGGATACGTGGGAACAAAGGCTACTAGATAAAGTTCATTTTTACCTGATACAAGCTTTCTGCCTGGTGTCTTGAAAGCTTTCTTTGTTAGGATGAGAAGGGTTGTTTTAAGCAGCTGGAACTCAAGTTAATAAAATCAAACAATTAGGACAGAGCTATCTGGCTTACATGCAATCTTTCTGTGTATGTCAACCTTTGTAATGGATTGTTTTACGTAGGGCGATAAGTACTATCTTGCTATTGACTGTGATCTCGAGTAGTTTATGGGGACCATTTTATGCTAATGATTCCCATGTCTCTGGTTATGTGTTTGGTATAATAATATAGTATGATCTTCAAATTTGTAGGACTGAAATGGTGAAGTGTGTGAACTCCATTCAAAACAATTCGTCTTTCTGTGGTTTGTTCTATGTGATATATTGTATCTGCATCTTAATAATAATATGCTCTTTCAAAAAATAAATAAATAATAAGTTGATCTTTTCATATCAGAGTCTTTGTTCTTTTCATTTTCATTTTTCACTTTAGGTTCCCAGCACTCATCTCCAAATCCTATCTGAATCCAATTAATTACCCAAACTCTCCAATTTAAACTTGACTTTGAGTTATAGATAGATAAAAAAGAAACAATTCTTATCCTGTGATCTATGATCATAAAGATGATGAGTACAATCATGCTTCTTATTATGATTGGCCATCTGCTCTCTCAGAGGCTGTGCCAAGAAAATATCAGGCCAACTTAATTGGTTCTCATGACACAAACATATCACAAGGTAAAAGTCAAAGGCCAGGAGGAAGTCACCTCTACAAACTGAAGCCAACCTCATCTCTCTAAAAGAGAAGCTAATAGTTATCATCATCATGTTCAAACCAAGGCCAAACTTGTAGACTTGAAAGTATCAACTGCTCCTCTGTCACGGCGACCAAAAAAGGAGGTGGGGGATGAACTTGAAACTGCTTCCCTTTCTCATCCTTACACGACACAAAACCGAACACAGTCTAGAGAAGTAGCGTCTAAGTGAGACAACCCATCCATTTCAGCATCAAAGATTCCTCTCAGAGATGTTTTCAAGACACCAAAGACCATGAAAGCACCGAGGTATGCTTTCTTTTATGTTGTCTGCTTTAATGTCCTGTAGTCTCATGGCTATTTCCAGCTTGCTGTAATTTTGCTGCAGAACTCGAGCAAGGAAGGCAAGGGTTGTGAACTCTGTTTGAAATTTTGCAACGACGGCTGTGAGTCAAATTAATCATGATTAATATATATATACATATATATATATATATTAGATATTAATTCAATTCAAAAACTTAAATTGCTAAGTTAACTCGATTCTTTCAATCATTAATAATATAAAATTATCCTCTCATAATATCTCTTTTCGTCTTATATACTTGAATATTTCTAACATCTTTTTCACAAGTTCATATCTGTTTTTAATACTACGAGTGATTTATTCATTTGTATCTATCCATAGTGATATGATTTATCTTCGTTCGGTTAAATTATAGTCTAAATGACTCAATCTTTCTTTTGTCTACTTAGTGTTAATATCATATCAAACATCTTATAATGACGAGTTTGAGTTAAATTAATCAGGATTAACAAATATTAGGTCAGACACTAATCGAATCCACAAGCTTAAACTGCTAGATTATGAGCCAAACCTAATATATATAACTCGACTCTTTCATTCATCGATGTTATAAGATTATTCTATCAAAATATCTTCTTTCGTTTCACACATATCAAGATTATCCTATCATAATTGGGTCGTAAGGTTAACAACTTAGAGTCACAAGGTAACAATTGGAAAGGCATTGTTTTAAGTTATTTCAATGCAAAATTATATCTAATTATGTAAGCTATGTCTCATACGTTGACTCCAATTAATTGATACGGTGGGTGACCCTGCCAATATGACAAGATCATTCGATCAATGAGCCAACCTCACACGACTGACACACCAATTTCACTAATTTCACTTATTAATTTTTGTAATAAGTTGGAGAAAAAAATTAATGTAGCCCAGCCCACTTCCCTAATGGGCTCTTGCGAAGGCCCAACCCACTTGAACTCTTATTTGGGGCAGAGAGAGAAAGAAGGCAATGCTTTTCCCTGTCTGCAGCCCTGTGTTTAATTTTGCCATATGGAAAGCTAAATCTTCCTTTGCAAAAGAGATCACAATCCATTTTGTTTCACTCAACACCCATTTAAGCAAGACTCCCTGAGAGACAAGAAGAATGCATCTGGCTTATGCTGTACTTTTAGTATTGATTGATCCTTGCATGACCCTCATCCATTCTTACTGTTCTCTGTTCTTTCTAGTACAGGAGTTATATTGGTGTGACCATGCCAGCCAACGTGAGGAAGAAACAAAGTATGTGCCAGTTAAGTGGATCCAGAAGATGACATCGATGAAAGGACATTGGACCATGCAGGTGAGCAGTCCATTGGATGACTGCTGCTGCAAGACAGTGGACACCGCAGGGAGAAGCTGGTCCACGGGACTCACTCAGAAGACTGGGAATCTTGGTGAGTCGGACGATGACACCTGGGAATGGAAGAAGACTATGTGTGACCTGGCACCACGTGCGACGTGGGACCTCCTACCTGGACCCACCCTGCTTTGGCAAGAACTTCCCATCCCTTACATTCTCCGACCTTTGTGTCATTCTACCTTCTCTTCCGTTGTGCACAAGTAGAGTTGGCTTCATGTCTTCGAGAACTAAACGATCTCAAGCCTTCGCTGATCATTGATGATCACCGAGATGTAAATTGTGTGGTAGCACTCATGTTCATACTTCATAAAACAGGCTAGTAATGTAGCAGCATGACATAGAGATGCATGTCCGAAGTGGACCTTATAAGGATGTGCGACATGACTTTTAGTTTTAACTACCCTATGGACACATGCAGGGCTCCAAAAGAATGGACCATAGTCTTCGATTTGTCTCTTGGTTGATATCGTAATGTGGATTCTGTGAAGAGAGATTGTTGTAATCTCTCAGACAGATTAGCTATTGAAGTGGATTTTGTGAAAGGATGTATCTGAAGAAAAGACAATGGCGCGGTCACATGCCTGCGGCGGTACTGAGATTCCATGCTCAGCTCCGAGGACAATTATTCTGCAAGTCTTGTAGCAATCATGGCATCATTATTTCATGGGCAGAAGTCAAACCATGGCGAGCTAGATCTGATCAAATGAAGAAGAGGAAGAAGAAGAAGAAGAAGAAGAAGGAAATCCAACACACAGCGGCAGTTGATTCGAGTTACATGCCTAATAGTCACTTGAATCCAGTAGTGGATTCCCTGCCAGTCTCGTGAAGAGAGTTCCACTCCCATAGCTTGTCTGAGACAGCGGGGACTGAGATGGGCAAGGCGGTGAAGGGAAGCAGATGGGGGTTGTAGTTGACGTAGTTCTGGTTGAAACCTACCAACCTGTTGAGTTCATCGATCATCCGAGCTGAAGTGCCGTCTTCGTCGGTCGAGGTTGTAGAGCTCAGTGAATTAGCCGTCGATAGTGCGGCCGCTGACCAAGAAGAGTCTCCTCCTAATTGGAAATCCGGCCGCTGCTGATGCCAACAGCTGTTGTGCCTTCTATCCGTTCCAGTTCCTCGAGAAGACGACCAGGACGGCTTGGAAGCAAGTGGGAGACGGTGGCGGCCTTCAACTCCAGCTCTTTTGTAGACACGGCAAATTGAGATCTCAGCCTGAGAAGGAATAAGATCGGTCGATTCGGTAGCCAAAGAGAGAAATGATTAGGATCAACGATCCAAATACTAGTCTATGCAATCTAACGATGTGCTGGGTTAGATCAAAGAACAGTGCCATGAACGAAACCCTAGCTCGGTGAACTTGACTCATGTCGCAAACATCAACTGAAGACTCCAAAGATTTCTTCTCCAACCCAAAATTGATCTCGGGAAATGTATTCGTATTCTTGTTCATGCTGCAGGAAGCTCTCGTCCTTTATGGTGTTTGTGAGTGCCTCAGGATTACCTTCTTGTGCTGGTCGGTGTCGCTCCGCGGCAAGCGGTACTCGTTCATGATCCAAGTGGTGCGGATGCCTTTGGGAGCTTTGCCGGAGTAGAACACCAGCGTCTTCTTCAGACCGATCGACCGATTACCCTCGTCTCGGATCAACCGGTCTGCTCCGGTGGCCTTCCAGTATCCCGACGCCGTCACCCGGTTGGGCCGGTCGCCGTTCTTGTACTTCCGATCTCTCGGGACATAGAAGAACCATTCTTTCTCTCCCATCGCGGCGAGTGCTGTCATTTCGTCGAACACCAGCGTAGATAAGCAAGATTCATCGGTACACCTGCACCTAACAAGGGATATTCCAGACCTGGCAGCTCCCAGGGGTCGTAGTTGTAGAGATCGAGGAACGTTATGAGTTCCACGTTGAAGCGTTTCCCCTCGACCTTCCGGCGGAGGTAGAACTCGATGAGCTCCTCCTCGGTTGGATGGAAGCGGAATCCAGGCATGACGACGTCGTGCTCGTGCCCGTCGCCTCCGCCGCCATCTCCACTCATGGCTGCTGCGACTGCCATGAAACCAGTCTTCCCGCAGTCGTCACCTCCACTTCATCCCTGTGCTCTATCCTATAAATACTTGGTCTCAAGTGAATCGTACCTTGGATTTCGTGCAAGTGGTAGGAAGACCAAAGTAGCAACCTGACCAAACTCGACGGCGGAAGGTGCTGTGAACCGTAAGATCCGATAGCAAGTTACTGTCACTGCTGTCGTTGCCTTCTGGCCTTCAAACCTCTACCGATCATCCATCTCTATCTCTTGAGGATATATATATATATATATATATATATCCTCAAGAGTTATGTAAAGAGAGAGAGAGAGAGAGAGAGAGAGAGAGAGATAAGTCTTTGGTCGAATGGAGCTATCAAATTTATTACGGAGGCCATGATAGGGCACAAATGGCTTGTGCTATACTAGCCGATATTGACAAGGTGGTCCTATGTGAAATTAACCACTAGAAACATTTATATGTGTAAAATAAAAAGAGATACTCACGCATCAAATTGAAAGAGATAGACTATATATACTAAATATGACCCATAATAAAAAAAACATAAATTTTTAGATTGAATGAGTGTCAAAAATGATATATATTAATTCTATAGCTCATTGACTCGTACACATTATTATTTAAAATTTAACATGACTTGACTTGACAAGGAGGACAAGATGTTACAAAAATCACTTTCAGTCCAACTAGGAAGTAACTATGAAAGTCTCCTACTTCATTTCCATAAGAGAATCAATGTAATAGTATTAGGCAACTTTTTATTTTAAAATGTATAATATATATATAAGTAATTAGATATATCCTAATATAACTTAATAGAGATGATTAATTGTGGATCCAATGAGAAGCAATAATACCTGCAGAGTAGTGATTGGAACCGACAACACATGCGGCTTCATTTTCCTAACAATCTATTCTTGGTCAGTGATGGACAACCGTTGACTTTAATATGATTTAGACTATTTGTATGTAGTCAACTCTGTACAAGAAGTATGAGATCTAATCTAAACCATAGGAGGCAGATTTGGGATTCCAAATCACTTTGCTCATTTATCTAAACAAATTGCAGTTCAATCTACTGTTCTCTGAACAAACATAAAATAGTGATTAGAATCATGTTGGCAACCGGATTATTGATCAAACTCATGGTTGTTAAACCATGAGTTTAGTAAAATTAGAGGTTTAATAAATAAAGGCTTGCATACTCTCAAAATATTTAAATCTATTTCATAGTAAAAAGTTCCAGAACTATTGTTCATTTAATTTGAACTGTGAGCAATTGTATAAAGGCATTTTAGCATTTTTAAGATTCTAAGTTCTAGTATGATAAGAATGAGCTCATCTTCACTATGATAAGAATGAGCTTACTTCTTTTGAGTACTCGCATTTATATTCATACATCTTATATTATTAATTTAGGTATTAAAGGGATTGAATCGAAAAATCTTTCTTGACCTTAATCTTTGTGTAGGAGGTACATTGAAAGCTTAATTTTTTCATCTTGAATACACATCGAATAACAACCCAATGCATATAGGTGTGACCATATTGAATTGACCAAGACATCAATGATATTTTTCCTTACAAATGATCATTTTCATTTAGTCTTAATGGTGGATTTTTTGTATCCTTTTATTATACTTTATTCTTAATTTCAATATCTTCAGCATCCCATGATGAGTCATGATGAGTCTTCTCCGAGATGAATGTCCTTCATCTATTTCTTTTAAAGGCTTTCTTTCCCTAAAAGTATATATCTTAAATGAGTTCCATTTACCTATTTGCATGTGTAATCCTCCTTTGGTAAAGCATTCAAGTTTGTTTCCTGTGTTCAAGAATTTGTCCCAATATCATCTTAATCTTTTTCCTTGCTAATTTTCTATTTCCCTTGTTCGATCATCTATCACTAATCCTCTTCCTGCTGTCTGTGATTTCTGTGAAACCTCGATTCATCACCTACATTGGAGATGTGAAGGCGAGATTTCCATGGATAATACATCATACATCAAATTATTTTCTCTTGTGTAATAATTTCTGGATAGCAGTACTTGATTTGATTCAAACATCATTTTGATGCAACTATGATGTTTATGTTGTTGAGATGCTAATCTTTCGATAATCTATACTCGTATCGATGTTAAAGGTCAAAATTCACGTTGATGCATGTGATTTGACCATTGAACGATGAACTTAAAATCCAAACTTGTTTTGTGTACCTAAGCGTGATCTCGAATTTGGTATAGATTATTTATTTATTTATTCATTGCCAATCTAATCAAAGAATAATTTAATGAGATATAAATGGACTCAATATATCTAAGTACCTAAAAAAACATGTGCAATCGTAAGTATTTATTGTGCATTGACAAATAACACAGTATTTATTGCAATAATGCAACACTGACTAAGATCTATCTACGTCAAATCCATGGCGTCCTACGTATCTTAGGATCCAGCGTCTCCAAAAGGCAGCAAACAGGAAAAGGACGAATTCACGCGGTCACACGAAGTCAAATTGCCTGCTGCCAAATTGTGGGGCCCGTTTTTCGAGCAAGCGTAAGACAGAATTCCCTGTACCGTACATTGGCTGACTTTATGTAACAATGAAGTGAGCGGTGCCTGCTGTCGCCGCTGCTGTTGCTCACCGATCCGCCTCGGGCGGCCCAACCGCCGGATTGCAGTGCTCGAGGGAGGTGGTAAAGGCGGTGAAAGGGATTCATGCGTCTCCTGCACTTATTGAACTCGACGACGTAACCAGGTCCTCGAGGCAACTACCCCTCCCTTAAGATCTCCGTCTTCTCCCTCCTCGTCACCAGCTTTGCCAGCACTTTCTGTCGAACACTTTGCGGCCAGATGCAATAGAAAGTCTCACTCTTTTGAGAAGAATTGATTGTTTATTCCGCCATATAACGCTGTTTAGAGGAGATCATCTTCATTCTTACAGACTAACGAGATGGGCAGCAAAGAGGAGTACTTGCGAAAGCCAAGCCAGAGCCAGAGTCCGATGCGGTTGAAGCTAAAGATCCTCCTGCTATTGCTCTCAACCAATATCCTCTCCATCTACATCTTCTATGGCTCCGCCGACCACCATAGGTGGCTACCGTCCTCCGTCCGCCACTGGGACTTCGCTGGGCTCCTCCGCGAGTTGAACGCCACCCAGAGTAAGCTCTCAGCCAGCCAGGCCCAGGTGGTGCTGCTCAACCAGCGGCTCGCCAGCACCAAGTCCTTGCTCGAGAGGCTCCTCGCCGACGTCGGCCAAGCCCACCGCGACGAGGCGCCGGAGCAGGGCCTGGAAAGGTGGGCGCACCAGCTCGGCGGGGAGCTGAAGCTCGCCGTGGGGCCGCACAAGCTCCCCTTGGGCTACACTCCCAACCTCGGCTCCCACGAGATGTACCCGACGCTTGGCACGGCTTGCCGGCGCTTCCAGGAGGAGTTGGTCCAGTTCATGAGCTACGACGTCGGGGGCGAGTGCCCGTCCGACGAGGTGTTCGCGCAGCGGTTGATGCTCAAAGGTTGCGAGCCTCTTCCCCGGCGCCGGTGCCACCCCAAGTCTCCCGCCGGCTACGTCGAGCCCACGCCGTTCCCGGAGAGCCTCTGGTCGATCCCGCCCGACACCAGCATCGCCTGGGATGCGTACACCTGCAAGAACTACACATGTTTAGTCAACAGGAGCAAGCAGAAGGGGTCCTACGACTGCAAGGACTGCTTCAACCTGGGTGGCCGGGAGAAGAACCGGTGGGTCTACAGCGACGGGGAGCTCAACTACGGGATCGACGAGGTCCTGAGCGTCAAGCGCGGCGCCATCCGCATCGGGCTAGACATAGGCGGCGGCACCGGCTCGTTCGCGGCGAGGATGAGGGAGCGCAACGTGACCATAGTCACCAGCACCATGAACTTCAACGGACCCTTCAACAACTTCATCGCCTCCCGCGGCCTCGTCCCGCTGCACATCAGCGTCGCTCACCGGCTGCCCTTCTATGACAGCACGCTCGACATCGTCCACTCCATGCATGTGCTCAGCAACTGGATCCCTGACGTCATGCTCGAGTTCGCTCTCTTCGACATCTACCGGGTGCTGCGGCCCGGCGGCCTCTTCTGGCTCGATCACTTCTTCTGCCACGGCAAGCAGCTCAACTCCACGTACGTGCCCATGTTCCAGCGCATCGGGTTCAGGCGGCTCCGGTGGCACGCAGGCCGGAAGCTCGATCGAGGCTTCGAAAAGGACGAGTGGTACGTCTCTGCACTTCTGGGGAAGCCCTTGACATAGCCTAACACCAAAGCAGGTCCATCGAGGAGACATTGAAATTATCAGCCGTGGCATGTGGTGTTATGAGTGTAATTGTTTCGTCTATTGTGACACTACTGATAAAAGAGTGAAGAAAGATCAGCTTCGGACGAACTCTACAGGAATAAACTCAGCAATCTTTTCTGTCCGTAAACAACTTACGATATGTCAAAGAAATCCTCTCTTCGATGAACATAATGCATTTAAATCAAGTTATAAATGCACTTAAAAGATGTGTTGCAGATGCAGATTTAGTTTTGGATACCACCAACAAAAAAGACGAAGAAATAGGATCGTACACTACGTAGTTCGGCGACCGCTCCCCCAACAATACCTCTCTTGTTTTTGTGGACCCTCACGCTACTGTGGGGGGTGGGTCCCACGAACATGCGGTTGGTTGAGGGGAGTTCATGTGTAGAAGCAGGACAGAGCCGTCATTTCATCAAATAAGGAGGTCACGGGTGCAACCCGGTAAACACAACCGTCGTCACCCTGAAATCAAACACGGTGAACCAACCCATCTCATTTCATATAAACACCTCCTCCGCCCACTTTCTCCCTCGCATCGACCTTCCCTCCGCGCGCCTCTTCTTTTCCTCCGCTCCCCGTTGAACCCACTGAAAACCCTAATCTGCATCCGCCGTCGGGGACCTCGACCTGTGTCCCTTTCGTTTGATGCGGTGCGCGCGATGGATGTGGGTGGGGCGCGCATCGACTCGTCGCATAGTCAAGGAGGTTTTCCGAGACTTCAGAGGCAGAAGAGCCGGCTTGAGCAAGGCGCTGACAACTGGTCCATCTTCCCTCTCTCTCTCTTCTATTCGATCTGATTTCTTGGAAGTTTCTGCTGGTCTTGGGTTTGTTTTCCTGCTTCCGGATCCCCTTTGTTATGTTCTTGCTGGTGGTGTTGAAGATTTCCAGAGGTTCGACCAGCAGTGCGTTACGGGCGAGTTGAGCCCTCCATTTCTTTGCCTGCTTCTCTTTCATTAGGGTTGCGCGTTTTTGTGCATACCTCTTCGTTTCTATCATGTTCCACCTAACACGATACATTAAGATTTCAGGTCGGGTATAAATCTCAACGTGTGTCCCGTGGATAATAGGATTCTGGATTCGATCCTTTTGGATATACGCATGATATATGACAATCAGCTACAATAAGTTAATTCTGTTATGTTTTCATTATGGGCAAAGTTATGAGATGATTTTATAGTTGAATGCTAGTCAAAATTTCAGTGAATAAGCCATGTAAAATTTATTGGGCTGACAGCCCACGTTCAGCCAAAGATGAGCTTTATCAGCCCACAACTCACCCCCTCTTAACTTAACTCTAATTCATATTAAGGGAAGTATTGTTATTACTAAAATAAGCATAAAAGGGCAGTCGGGTACATCTTGGCAGCAGCAAAATGAAGGAAAAATCTAAGGAGAAAGAAAGGAAAGAAAACAAGAAAAATGCAGAGAGACTATTCTCAATCATCTAGTAGTGTTCTCATCTCATGTTAGATCAAATCTACAGTAGATTCTTACTGTGATTACTTGGGGAGAATTAGGGAGAATTTAGAATTTTGTACACAGTGACGTGATCCTTGTATCCCAGTTATTTTCTTTTGATTGTTGCTAGAGTTTTGGTTAAGAGATTGAGATTTGTATATTCATTATTCTTATAGTGGATTATCTTTAGTTTGCTCCGTGGTTTTTATCCTTCACATTGGAGGGATTTTTCATGTATATCTTGGTGTTTTATTTGATTGTGATTTCATTTAATTCTGCTGCGTGTTATAGCCTGTTAATATTTGTTCATATACAAAAGTTTATTTCACTTTATATCCCATCAACTGATATTAGATCAGGGTTGTGATGATTTAATTTTTGTCTTTGAACATGAAGGCCAATAGTGTTTTTCGCATTATTAGTTTGAAGGAAAATAATTGGATGATATAAAAACCAATAATAGAAGATCTCTCGTATTGCAAAGATTTGTATGGACCTTTGAGGGGATAGTGCAAAACCTACAACTATGACAGATGATAAGTGGAAGAGGTTAGATTGAAAAATAGTTGGATTTATTCGACAATGGCTTGATGATAGTGTCTTTCACCATGTTTCTACTGAAATTTCTACATATTCTCTTTGGAAAAAGTTGGAAAGTCTCTATGAAAGAAAAATAGCTAGCAATAAAGATTTTTTTATCATAAAACTTATGAACCAAAAATATTGAGAGGGTGCTTTTGTTGCCGAGCATTTGAATGAAATGCAGAGTATCACTAACTAGTTATCCTATATGAAAATGTCTTTTAATGATGAGTTGCAGGCATTGTTACTTCTTAGTTTATTACCAGAAAGTTGGGAGACACTGGTGGTTTCCCTTAGTAATTCTGCACCAGATAGTGTTGTGACTATAAGTCAAGTAACAAGTAGTTTGTTGAATGAGAAGTTGAGAAGAAAGAATTCAGTAACATCTCAAAATGATTCATAAGCACTTATCTCAGAGAATAGAGGAATGTCAAAGTCTAGAAACAATTGACAAAAGTAAGTCAAGATCAAAAAAAGATATTGTTTGCTATAACTGTGGTGAGAAAGGACATTACAAGAATCAATGCAAGCAACCTAAGAAGAGCAAGAAAAAGGGAAAAGAAGTGGAGTCTGCAGAGTCAAAAGATAATATTACAACTATAGTGCAGGGTGGTGATTATTTGATTTTGTCTCCTTCTGATGATTTTTCTTTTTTTTATGTCAGGATCTTGAGTGAGTGATTGACACAGGTGCTTCTTATCATGCTACACCACGGAGAGAGTTTTTTGCTACCTATAGGTCTGAAAATGTTGGTGTTGTTAAAATGGGCAACTATGACACAACAGATATCATTGGCATGTGTGATATCCATTTAAAGACCAACCTTGACTGCAAGTTGATGCTTAAAGATGTGAGGCATGTGGTTGACTTGAGATTGAATTTAATTTCAGTTGGAAGGCTAGATGATGAAGACTATGATAGCAGATTTCACAGTGGGCAATGAAAGCTCAGTAAGGGTTCTTTTATTGTGGCTAGTGGAAAAAAATGTCATACTTTATACAGGTTACAGGTCAAAGTTTGTGGTGAATAGTTAAATGCTACAGAGAAACACTTCAGTATGGAGTTGTGGCATAGACGACTGGGACACATGAGCGAGAAGGGGTTGCAAGCTCTTTCCAAGAGAGAGATATTGCCAGACCTCAGAGGTACACATCTAAACCCTTATATTAATTGTTTGGCTGGTAAACAACACATAGTTTCATTTGCTAGTCCTGCTTTGTTTAGAAAAATGCATGCCTTAGACTGTGTTTATACAGATGTATGTGGTCCTTTGAGGACAAAAACTCCTGATGGATCTGTTGATGTTCTTGGTATTAGTGATGTACTTTATTTTATCACTTTTATAGATGATTTTTCCAAGAAAGTTTGAGCCTATGCTTTGAAGACCAAAGATCAGGTTATTAATATCTTCGAAAAGTTTCATGTCAGAGTTGAAAGGGAGACAGAAAGACAATTGAAATACATAAGATCAGATAATGGTGGTAAGTATACAGGATTATTTAATAATTATTGCAGGTAACATGACATCCAACATAAGATGACAGTTCCTGGTATACCTCAGCATAATGGTATTGCAGAGAGGATGAACCGCACCATTATGGAAAGATCATATGTATGCTATTACAAGCCAAGCTACCCAAAAAGTTTTGGGATGAGGCTTTGAGAACTGCAGTTGATGTGATCAACTTATCACCGTGTATAACCCTAAATTGTGATGTTGTAGGGCATGTATGGTTAGGGAAAGATATTTCCTACTGACATTTGAGAGTGTTTGGTTATCGTGCATTTACACATGTTCCAGACAATGAGAGATCCAAGCTGGATGGTAAGACTAAAAAATATATATTTCTTGGTTACTCATATGATCAGTTTAGTTATAGGCTTTGGGATCCAGAAAAGCAGAAAGTATTAAGAAGCAGAGATGTAGTCTTCTTTGAGGATCAAACCTTTGGGGATTTAAAGAAGAAGACATAAGCCAAGACTTATGCAGAAGAATTAGCAGATTGTGACCTAATTACTCCTCCAGTATATCAGGGTGATGAGAGAGATGTGCAGGAAGATAGTATAGACCCTAATGTTGATCTACCTGCAGGACATGTTGAACAAGAAGAAATTGGAGAGCAACTTCCCGTAGAACCTCAGTTAAGAAGATCTTCTAGACAATGTCAACATTCCAAAAGATATTCTACAGATGAATATGTGATGCTTACTGATGCAGGTGAACCAGAGAGTTACTAGGAAGTAGTTGAAAGTGAGCAGAAAGAGAAGTGGTTAGTTGCTATGCAGGAAGAGATGGATGCTATTCAGAAGAACCACACTTATAATTTGGTACTACTACCAAATGGAATGAAGGTATTGAAGAACAAGTAGGTTTTTAAGTTGAAGACTCAAGAATATTGTTTTCAACCAAAATACAAAGCTAGATTGGTTGTGAAAGACTTTAGTCAAAAGAAAGGTATTGACTTTGAAGAGATTTTTTCTCCTGTTGTTAAAATGTCTTCTATTCATGTTGCTCTTGGTATTGCTATTAGTCAGGACTTGGAGGTTGAGCAGTTAGATGTGAAGACAGCTTTTCTTCATGGTGATTTGGAGGAGGAAATTTATATGGAGCAACTAGAAGGCTTCAAAGTCAAAAATAAAGAGAATTTTGTCTATAAGTTGAAGAAGAGCTTGTTTGGGCTAAAGCAAGCTCCAAAACAGTGATACATAAAGTTTGATTCATTTATGACAGAAAATGGATACAAAAGAACAACTTCAGATCATTGTGTGTACATCAAATGGTTTGGTGAGAATTTTATTATTCTCTTACTTTATGTTGATGACATGTTTATTCTTGGGAAATATATGTCTACAATTGACAGGTTGAAGAAGGAACTGAGTGAGTCTTTTACAATGAAGGACATGGGGCCAGAAAAGCAAATACTAGGTATACAGATTTCCCATGATAGGAAAAATAAAAAGATTTGGTTGTCACGGGAGAAATACATCGAGAAGGTATTAGAAAGATTCAGTATGAACAATGTAAAACCAGTTGGTTCTCCACTTGTAGGTCGCTTCAAGTTGTGCTCAATACAGAGTCCG